GATGGGAAAGCAGAGGTCAGGAGGGTGGGTGGGGGGTACAGTGGGCTCAGAGTCCAGCAATGAGGTCCCCTGCCCTACATGCACTACAGGAAGGGGTGAGGAGAGCAGCCAGAGGAAAACCGGCCCAGAACGCAGCATCCTTTCTTCTCTCTGGGCCTCAGTGCCCTCAGCTCTGAAGGAGCTCTTTGTGCCTTGAGATGCTGTCAGGCCTCAAAGTAGGAGGAGCTGTGGGGTCCCCGAGTGTTTCCTCTCCTTGGCAAGGCTCTTCCTTCCACTCAAGTTCTCTCTGCTGGCCCCTCCTGTGTCCTCAGGTTGGGCTTGACTCTCCCTGCCTGAGCAGGGAGGTCCCTGGCCACAGTGGGGAACAGGTGGGATGAAATGTGAGGGCCAGAGAGTTAGCAGCTTGTTGGGAAGCATTGCAACAAGCAAAAAAACGGGAGGGCGAGGGAAGTCAAAAGCCTCAGCTTCCACTCTCCCCAGCAGTCCCCCATCCAAGCACCATCAAGGCCCAACTCCGCTTAGCTTCTAGGCTGAGGCATCCTTGAGCTACCATGACACCCAGCGGCTGCTGGGACAGACCCCCTCAGGGATGCCCCAGGTTGTGGAAGGGGCACAAGCGTGTGGGAGTAGGAAAGTGACAGCCTGAGTGTCAGGAGAAGGCTGGAAATCTTTGTGACAAGCAGGGGAAATTGGGAAAAAAACTGGAAGTGAAAAGCCTCTAGCCCCTGTCTCCCTAGGCAGTCCCCCATCCACACCCAAGCTGGGATGTAGCCTGCTTAGCTTCTGGGCTGAGGCACCCACAGGTTGCAGTGGCTATCAGTTACCTCAGAAGCAGGCCTGTTCAGGGAGGTCCTGGGCCATGGCTTGGGTGCAGGCAGGCTGAAAAGGGCTGGCTAGAGTCAGGGGGTATTTGGGAAGGGTGGCCACATTTGAGGGAAGGAGGGAAAGGAGCCAGAAGCCAAAAGCCTCTAGCCCTTTATACCCTCTGGCCATCCTCCATTCAAGCCCCAGCCAGGGCCAACCCTGCTTAGCTCCCAGGTTGGTGTGCCCTGAGAAAGCTATGGCACCAGGGATCTTACAGGGAGGAAATCTTACAGGGAGGTCCCAGGCCACAACAGGCTTGCAGGCTGATGGAATATGGGGCCAGAGTCAGGGGGCAGTTGAGAAGCATCTGGACAAGTCGGGGAAAGAGAAAAGGGTGTGGGAAGAAAAGAGCCTCCAGCCCCTGGTCTCTCCAAGTGGCCCCCCCCATCCAAGCCACAGCCCGGCTCAACCGTGCTTAGCTTTCACACTGGGGCACATTCAGGGTGCTATGGCACCTGAGGACTGCTGGGAGGACCTTCAGAAGAACGTCCTGGGCTGCCAAGGGGTGCAAGCTGGCAGAAAAGGTGGAGCCAGTGAGTCAGAGGGTGGTTGGGATAAGTGGGGCAACGTGGAAGAAACAGGGAAGGCACCAGTCTCCAGCTGCTGGTCTCCCCGGGTAGTCCCCCATCCAAGTGTCAGCCAAGCAAGACCCTGCGTAGCTTCCGGGATGTGGCACCCTAGGGCTGCTACGGTGCCTTGGGACTGCCGATACAAACCCAAATGGGGAAGGCCTGGGACAAGGCGTGGGTCTAGGCAAGTGGGAAAAAAAGATGCAGATTCGCGTGCGGTTGGGAAGCCCTGGGACTAGTGTGAGAAAGCTTGTTGATGTCTGAAAGAAAATGCCTCCAGCACCTGCCTTTCCAGGCAGTCCCCATCCAAGCCCTGCCAGGCCTGACCCTGCTTAGCTTCTGGGCTGTGGTGCCCTAGGGCTACTCTGGCACCTAGGGGCTGCTGAGACAAACCCACATGGGGAGGTCCAAGGTCTTGGTGTGGGTGTAGGCAAGAGGGAAAGCATTGGGACAAGAGGGAAAAGCTTGACGAAGATGAAGAGGCAAAAGCCTCCAGCCCCCAGTGTTTCCAGGTGGTCCCCCATCCAAGTCCCTGCCAGGCTGGTCCTTGCTTAGCTTCCTGGCCCCCACGGGCCGGTGTTTTCACTGCAGCCTGGTACCTCTTTGTAGTGGTTTGTACTGGCAGGCTCCGTGGGCCCCTGCAGCCTGAGGGTGGCTCATCCTGGAAGCTGAGCAGGGTTTGGCTTAACTGAAGCTTGGATGGGGAACCACCTGGGGAGATCAGGGCTGGAGGCTTTTGGCTTCCCGTTCTTTTCCCACTTTCCTCCTCTCATTGAAACACTTCTTAACCACCCCTGGACTCTCTGGACACCATATCATGCCCAACGTATACTCAGACCTCCCCGTGGGGGTCCATCCCAGCTGACTCCAGTTGGCATAGCAGCCTGAGGGTACCCCAGTATGCAAGCTGAGCAGAGTAGGGCATGAGGGACCACCTTGGGAGTCTGGTGGCTGGAGACTTTTGGACTCCTGCTAACTTCCTGCTTTCCTTCACTTTTGGCAACGATTTCCAACTGCCCCCTGACTCCCTAATCTCCCACTTCCTCCCGCCAGTGCCCCCACCTTGAACTGCAACTTCTCCTGGGGGGTTTGTTCCAGCAGCCTCCCATCACCATAGTAGACTGAGGACCCCCAGCCCAGAAGTTAAGCAGGGTTGGGCCTAACAGATGCTTGGATGGGGTACCACTGGAATGACCAGGCTTTGAGCTTTTTGGCTTCCTGCTCTTTTCGACCTTTTCCCCCTTGTAGCAACATTTCTCAACCACACCCTGACCTTCAGACTGCTATGGTTTGCAGAGGCTGCATAGATGAAGTCCCATAGGGAGGTGCCTGGCCACAGGTGGGGGGCAGGTTAGCTGGAAAAGAAATGCCAGAGAGTTAGCGGGTGGTTGGGAAGTGTCGTGACAAGCATAAAAAAAAACAACGGGAGTGGGAAGCCCAAAGCCTCTAGACCACAGTCTCCCCAAGTAGTCCCCGGTCCAAGCCCCACCAAAGCTCTACCCTGCTTAGCTTCTATGTTGGGGCACCCTCAGGCTGCTATGAAGCCCAAGGGCTGCTATCATGGTCCTCCTCAGGGACACTTCACAACACAGAGTGGGCACAGGAGTGTGTGGAAGTCAATAAGGAAAAGCCAGAGAATCATTGGGCTGTTGGAACGCTTTGTGACAAGCAGGAAAAATGGGAACAGTAAGAAGCCAAAAGCAACCAGCCCCCATCTCCTTGGGCAGTCCCCAATCCTAGCCCAAGCCAGGCTCGATCCCTCTTAGCTTCCATGAAATTTGGTGCCTTCAAAGAGGTGAGGTCCCAGGCCAGAGCAGGGGTGCAGGCAGGCGCAAAAGGGCTGGCCAAAGAGTTGGGGGCAGATAGAAAGAGTTGCGACAATTGGAGGAAAGCAGTAAGGAGGCAAGAAGCCACAAGTCTCCAGCCCCCTGTCCCTCCAGGTGTTCCCCCATGCAAGCCCTAGCCAAGCCTGACCCTGCTTAGCTCCCGGGCTGGGGCACTCTCAGCGTGCTTTGGTGCCTCTCTACCCGTTAAATACAAACTCCCTGTTCCCTCCTCTGCCAGCCCCTGGCAACCACCACTCTACTTTCTGTCTTTACCATTTTGACTATTATTTTGTTTTTGCTTTTGTTTTGAGACACAGTCTCATTCTGTCGCCCAGGCTGGAGTACAGTGGCTCACTGCAACCTCTGCCTCCTGGGTTCAAGTGATTCTCATGCCTCAGCCTCCCAAGTAGCTGGGATTACAGGCATGTGCAATCATGCCCGGCTAATTTTTGTATTTTTAGTAGAGATGTGGTTTCAGTATGTTGGTCAGGCTGGTCTTGAACTCCTGACACGGCCGGACAAGGTGGCTCACACCTGTAATCTCAGCACTTTGGGAGGCCAAGATGACAGATCACAAGGTCAGGAGTTTGGGACCAGCCTGGGCAACATGTTGAAACCGTCTTTACTAAAAATACAAACATTAGCCACGCACGGTGGCGGGTGCCTGTAATCCCAGCTACTCGGGAAGCTGAAGCAGGAGAATTGTTTGAGCCTGGGAGGCGGAGACTAAAGTGACCCCAGATCTGCAACCTCCTCCTCGGGTTCAAGCGGTTCTCCTGCCCCAGCCCCTCCAGTAGCTGGGATTACAGACGGGCGCCACCACGCCCGGTTAATTTTTGTATTTTTAGTAGAGACGAGGTTTCAGCATGATGGCCAGGTGGCTGGGATTCCCCCGCCTCGCCCCAGATCCCCGGGAGAGGCCAGCACGGCCCTCCCGTGGGTGTCACAGAGACAGATGCGATGCGGGTCCCTTTCCCTGGGAAGGGGCGGGCTGGGTCCAGTACGCAGGGTCCCTCCGGGCGCTGACCTAGGATGAAGTTGAGGTGCGGCAGGGCCGGACCCCAGGGCCCCTGCCTGCCTCCTGGGGAGCCGGGTGACCCAGGTAGCCCCGGTGAGGCCCCCGGGCTCCCACAGGACGGATGCGGACAGGGAGGCCGGGGAGGCCTCCCTGCTGGACTGTCCCTCCAGCCCCCCCAGGCAAAGGGAGCCGATCTCAGGACTGGGGTCACAGGGCTCCACTCGTGTGATCTCTAGGGCCCTACAGCCGGAGAGAGAGACCGGGCGAGGGGCCTTTCGTTCACCGCTGGGGCTGGGCAGACGCTCAGCCTGTGCCGCAAAGCGAAGCTGCTTCTGTGCAGTCCGAGCAGCGGCCCCTTTAAGAAGGGGTGGTGCTTCAGCCAGTCGCTAAGGACGCTGCCGGCGTGCGCGCCTCTACGGTAGCCGAGACGGCGCTTTCCGCGGGGCCCCGGCAGAAGCCGCGGCGTCGTTGAAGCGAACGGAAGCGGCTGCGATGTGGTCGGAGCGAGCGAAAGCGGCGGCCAGAGTCTGGGGCGTAGTCCTAGTGGGCAGAAGCGCAGTCGACGTCGCAGCGAGCAGAAGCGACCGCGCGGTCCCAGCCGGCAAAAGCGGAGGTCGCGTCCCAGCGAACAGAAGTGGCGGCGTCCAGAAGCGGCGAGCTTCGGAGAAGTAGTGGTGGCTTCCATGTGATGGAGGAGCTGGAGGGACGCTTCCGCGGTAAGTGGCGGGGCATGGACCCCCCCGAGAACCCTCCGGGCCTCCCTGCTCCTTCCCCACCGCTCGCTTTTGGGCCCTGACTCCTTGTGGGCATCTGGGCCCCAATAGTCTGCGTGGCGGTGGTTGTGGGGTCCTGGCCGCCGCAGCGTGCGCACCCTGGCCGGGAACGGTGTGCGACCCGCGTCCAGCCTATAGCACCTGGCCCAGAGGCCGCGGTGAAGCGCGGGACCTGGGACCCTCCGAGCCCCCGGCCCTCTGAGCTGAGGTCCAGGGTTATTTTGATGTTTCAGGACCTTAAGAGCGAGACCTCGCTAGAACCCAATAGAACAGGTGACATTTGTAGTGTGAATTCTTTGAGGAGTCTCCAGGTATTTCGCTGTTTTCCTTAGTGTCTATTCTGATTTTCATTTACAGTGTATGAGTTCCCTTTTCTCCAAAACCATACCCGTGTTCCTTTTTTTTTTTTTTTCATTTGGAGACAATCTCGTTCTGCCCCGGCCAGAGTGCAGTGGTGCCATCTGGCCTCACTGCAACCTGCGCTCCCGGGTTCAAGCAATTTTCCTGTCTCAGCCTCCTGAGTAGCTGAGACTACAGGGGCCCGCCACCACGCCAGGCTGATTTTTGTATCAGTAGTAAAGACGGGGTTTCTCCATATTGATCAGGCTGGTCTCCAACTCTTGACCTCAGGTGATCTGCTGCTTCAGACTCCCAAAAGTTCTGGGATTACTGGCGTAAGCCACCGAGCCTGGCCTCTCCTATTTTTGAGAAACTTTCTAGGGATATTTAATAAGTGTGAGATTATCTGTGTGTGGGTTTCAATTAAACCACACACAGTTAATTAACTTTGTTGGATAGTTAATTTTGAGGACCTTTTATCTGTTGTTCGATTTTCTGTCGCAGAATTGTCTGTTCAGGTCCTTTGCGAAATATTAGATTGTTTTGCTACTTTGTAGTGTTTTTTTGTGTACACCTTAGATGACAACTCATGAATTACATGACTACCTGAAATTTTTGCCTAATCTATAGGATGCTTTTTTAATTTGGAAGGTAGTTTCTTTGCCGTGCAGAAACTTTTCAGGTTGATGTAGTCCATGTTTATTTTTGCGTTTTATGCATGTAATTAGGTCACCCATATGAGAAAATACTTATCAGTGACAAAGCATTTAATTGTCAAGGAGGTTTTTCTTCCAGGGTGTTTGTTTCTTTCTCTCTTTGCAAAGGTGAGCAGAGAGTCAAGTGACCCAGAATATATGCTCAACCTGTGTTTTAGTTAAAAACATTTTGTGGTTTATGGTTTTTTTTTCTGATCTTTTGGGGTTTTTTTTTTTTTAAGTAGAGACAGTTTCACCATGTTGGCCAGGATGGTCTTGATCTCCTGATCTTGTGATCCGCCCACTTCGGCTTCCCAATCTTTCTCTTATTTATTTTTTTTTTGAGATGGAGTCTGCCTCTGTCAGATCTTGGCTTACCGCAATCCTCTCAGGATCAAGTGATTCTCCGGCTTCAGGCTCCCAAGTAGCTGGGACTACAGGTGCATGCCACCATACCCAGCTAATTTTTGTACTTTTAGTAGAGATGGGGTTTTACCATGTTGGCCACCTGGTCTTGAACTCCTGACCTCAAGCATACGCCCACCTCCTCAGCCTCCCAAAGTGCTGGAATTACAGGCTTGAGCTACTGTGCCCTTCTTAAATGACACTGCTTTCTGTTGGAGTCCAGAGACTAAGTTTGATACCTCCCATTACTGGGCACCTTTGTACATCTATCTGTTCATTTAATTCAAATAGTTACTGAGAACCTACCAGGAACCAAGCTCTGTTCTAGGGACTGGAGATATGGAGGTAAACAAAACAGACATCCCAGTGAGAGGAGTAAAATCTAAAGAAAATCAGTTAAGTAAAATATATAATGTGGACTGTGCATGGTGAGGCAGGTGGATCACAAGGTCAGGCGTTCAAGAGCAGCCTGGCCAAGAGACCAGCCTGGCCAATATGCTGAAACCTTGTCTCTAAATTTTGTAAAAATACAAAATTTAGCCCGGTGTGGTGATGGGCACCTGTAATCCCAGCTTCTCGGGAGGCTGAGGCAGGAGAACTGCTTGAACCTGGGATGCGGAGGTTGCAGTGAGCTGAGATCACGCCACTGCACTCCAGCCTAGGCAACATAGTGAGACTCCATCTCAAACAAAAAGATAAAAACAAAATTAGCCGGGCATGGTGACAGACACCTGTAATCCTAGCTACTTGGGAGGTTGAGGCAGGAGAATCACTTGAACCCAGGAGTCACAGGTTGCAGTGATCCAAGATGATGCCATTGCACTCCAGCCTGGGGGACAAGAGCAAAAACTTTGTCTCAAAAACAAACAGGCTGGGTGCAGTTTCTTAAGCCTGTAATCTCAGCACTTTGGGAGGTCAAGGCGAGCAGATCACCTGAGGTCCAGAGTTCAAGACCAGTCTGACCAACATGCAGAAACTCTGTCTCTACTAAAAATACAAAATTAGCCGGGCACGGTGACAGGTGCCTGTAATCCCAGCTACTCGGGAGGCTGAGGTAGGAGAATCGCTTGAACCCAGGAGGCAGAGGTTGTGGTGAGCTGAGATCGTGCCATTGCACTCCAGCCTGGGCAACAAGAGCAAAACGCCATCTCAAAAATAAGTAAGGAAGTAAGTAAATAAATAACAAAAACTGGCTGGGTGTAGTGGTGCATACCTGTAGTCCCAGATAATTGGGAGACTGAGGTGGGAGGATCACTTGAACCCAGGAGGCAGAGGTTGCAGTGAGCTGTGATTGTGCCACTGCCCTCCAGCACCCTGGGTGACAGAGACAGACCCTGTCTCCAGATATTAGGTTGGCACAGAAGTAGTTGCAGTTTTTGCCACTGAAAGTAATGGCATTGAAAGTAGTGGCAAGCCGGGCGTGGTGGCTCATGCCTGTAATCCCAGCACTTTGGGAGGCCGAGGCAGGTGGATCACAAGGTCAAGAGACTGATACCATCCTGGCCAACATGGTGAAAACCCATCTCTACTAAAAATACAAAAATTAACTGGGCATGGTGGCACATGCCCGTAGTTCCAGCTACTTAGGAGGCTGAAGCAGGAAAATCACTTAAACCTAGGAGGCTGAGGTTGCAGTAAGCCGAGATTGCTTTACTGCACTCCAGCCTGGGTGACAGCGAGATTCCATCTCAAAAACAAAAGAAAAAAGAAGGTAATGGCAAAAAAAGCAATTACATTTGTGCCAATCTAACAGATACATAGATATGTAGATAATATGATCAATGATGATTAGTGAGAGTGAAAAAGAAAACAGAAAAGTGAACAAGGGTCTGGGTGCAGGGGTTCATGCCTGTAATTCCAGCACTTTGGGAGGCTGAGGTGGGCAGATCACCTGAGGCCAGTAGTTTGAAACCAGCCCGGCCAACATGGTAAAACCCCACTTCTAAAAACACACACAAAAAATTAGCCTGGCATGGTGGTGCGTGTCTGTGGTCCCATCCGCTCAGGAGGCTAAGGGGGAAGGATCCTTTGAACCCCAGAGGCAGAGGTGGCAGTGAGCCGAGATCATGCCATTGCACTCTAGCCCCCCACCAAAAAAAAAAAAAAGAACAAGGAACATAAGATGATAAGTGTGGTCTCCAAGTCTTGTTTCATCTTCCTGTGTCCATTATTTTTTCCACTGTACAAGTGAGAAGGAGGTTCAGAGAGGTGGAGTAACTTTCCCAGGGACTCACAGTGTCAGCTGAGTAGGCTGAGGTGTCAGCGTCCTGGAGGGACCCATCCTGCAATCGCTCTTGGCTGTGTTTCTACCCAGCGCCTAGGATGGAGGTGGAAACACCAAGAGCATCAAACTTGCTCCTAAGGGCTTAAGACCTGGCAAGCAGGTAGGTCAACCCCTGTGATCAGAGGCCACCAAAAGCCCTTGCAGTGCATCCATGAGGTGTCCAGGGCAGATGCTGAGGAATCACTATGGGAAAAGCAGGTGCAGAGGCTGGAGTGGAGGCTCAGGCTGATGAATCAATTCCAGAGATCAGGAGCAGAAGGCAAAGGCTTCCTAGGATTTTCTGAGACTGTTGGTAGCTCCCAGGCCCACCAGTCCTGGCTCTACTCCCATTGTGGGTTCTGCTTCCTGACCCCTTCAGCTCTCTTGTCTCCAGCCCCTACGCCTTCAGGCAGGGAAACCCAACGAGGGAAGTTGCCTAGTAATTAGCCACAGCCTGGCACTGAGGAAGTGACTGTCACATGCAAACAGAGGCCCCCCTCCTTCACCTGGCCTCAGGAGCTTGAGGTGCCTCCCAGACTGCTGGGTCGTGCCAGTGGAGGACGCAGGGGAAATGTATTCAGGCATAGCTGCCAGCCATGAAGGCTGGTCCCCATGACTCAGTTTCTGTGCAGCAGATGTCATGAACAAGGGCGGCAGTGTGGAACAGGGTGGGTGAGAGTCTGGACTTTGGAGCCAGAAAGATGTTCCCTGCCTTCCCCAAGCACACCAACATACTTTTTACACCTCTAAGAACCTAGTGCAGCCTCCCAGGTTCAAGCAGTTCTCCTGTTTCAGCCTCCCAGGTAGCTGGAACTACAAGCACATGGGCTATGCCTGGCTAATTTTTTGTATTTATTTATTTATTTTTGAGACGGAGTTTCGCTCTTGTTACCCAGTCTGGAGTGCAATGGCGCGATCTCGGCTCACCACAACCTCCGCCTCCTGGGTTCAGGCAATTCTCCTGCCTCAGCCTCCCGAGTAGCTGGGATTACAGGCACGCGCCACCATGCCCAGCTAATTTTTTGTATTTTTAGTAGAGACGGGGTGTCACCATGTTGACCAGGATGGTCTTGATCTCTTGACCTCGTGATCCACCCACCTCGGCCTCCCAAAGTGCTGGGATTACAGGCATGAGCCATTGCACCTGGACCCTCTGGTAACTCTCATGCAACCCCATTTTACAGATGAGAAAATTGAGACTCAAGTTTAGGCACTCTGTCCAAGGTCATGCAGCTGCATACATTTAGGAATTTCGGATGTTCATTTATGTAAACACGTCTGCTTTAGCAGTGCCTCTTCCATGAGGTAATGCATGTAAAAGCTTTTTTGTAGTAGAGCCATATAAACACGAAGCATTGTTACTCATTTTGCTGGACTCCAGTTCAGCCTAGGGAGTCCAGGAAGGCTGGGGGCGGGAGGCAGTAATTAAAGTCTAAAGGTCCAATGGCCTCTCAAAATTCCCTATTCTGGTTCCCTCTCTGAGGCACCTCCAGATTTTATCTTCTACCAAATAGAGTTTGTTTCTCAGAAGTTGCAGGATGTGGGCGGTTAGAAAAAAAGTCAGCAGTATCAACAACTACAAAACCCCCAGCAGCAGCCTAAACACAAAAGAGTTTGAATTTTGAACCAAGGGCAGGGTGAGACCTGAAAGTAAATGCTGACACATCCTCTTCCCCAGCTGTGAACTGGGGGTCTGAGGGCTGCAGCAAAGGTCATCTGTCTCTACATCTTTAGGCAGGAAGTGCAATTCAATCCTCCCAGTGACTGATCACTTTGCAAGATTAATGGAATCCTCTCCAACACTGGTCTCTATTCCAACAGCACAGGCAGTGAATCAACCTCTCTTACTCAGCAAGGTCAGCGGATTCCCAGTTTTAAAAGTTCAAAACTTTTCTCCAGGAACTCTGTCCCTCACTATTCCTTTGTGGGGCAAAATTCTGCATTCTAGTCTAAGACTGAAAGGTGGAATTGGAAAGTCTGAGAACTTTTCTAGGCTTTTCATCTGTTGCTACTTCAACTTTCAAATAAAATAAATTCGAAAGGCCTGGTTTTCCCTGAAAGGGTTAACTGCCAGCCCACTAAGCCATCCTCGGGGGATAATCAACCAATGACAATTGAGTATGATGGAAGTAATGCTTGGATTTTTATGTTCATTGGTTAGTGCCATCAATCCAGAGACTTTTTTTTTTTTTTTTTTTTTTTTGAGATGGAGTCTCGCTCTTGCCCAGGCTGGAGTGCAGTGGCAGTGTCAAAATCTCAGCTCACTGCAACCTCCACCTCCTGGGCTCAAGTGATCCTCCTGCCTCAGCCCCCCTAGTAGCTGGGATTACAGGCAAGTGCTACCATGCCCAGCTAATTTTTGTATTTTTAGTAGAGATGGGGTTTCCCTGTGTTGGCCAGGCTGGTCTCAAACTCTTGTTCTTAGGTGATCCACCTGTCTTGGCCTCCCAGAGTGCTGGGATTACAGGTATGAATCACTGCACCTGGCCCAAATAAACTTTTTTTTTTTTTTTTTTTGAGAGGGAGTTTCCCCTCTCACTGGGTGCGGTGGCTCACACCTGTAATCCCTGCACTTTGGGAGGCTGAGGTGGGCGGATCATGAGGTCAGGGGTTCAAGACCAGCCTGACCAATATGGGGAAACCCCATCGCTATTTAAAAAAAAAAAAAAAGCCCAGCACGGTGGCTCACACCTGTAATCCCAGTACTTTGGGAAGCCAAGGCAGGTAGATCATTTGAGGTCAGGAGTTCGAGACCAACTTGGCCAACATGGCAAAACCCTGTGTCTACTAAAAACACAAAAGTGAGCTGATTGTGGTGGCGGGCACCTGTAATCCCAGCAACTTGGAAGGCTGAGACAGGAGAATTGCTTGAACCTGGGAGGTGGAGGTTACAGTGAGCCAAGATTGGGCCACTGCACTCTAGCCTGGGCAACAGATCAACCTCTGTCTCAAAATAAAATAAAATAAGAATTCTAGATAGAAACTAAACTTTTCCCCAAATGGTCAAGGCCTGAAAGTCTATATGCATACATTTTGGTTGTCTTTAGTCCTTTTTTTTCTAAGACAGAGTTTTGCTCATTTCCCAGGCTGGAGTGCAATGGCAGGATCTTGGCTCACTGCAGCCTCCACCTCCCAGGTTCAAGTGATTTCCTGCCCCAGTCTCGTGAGTAGCTAGGTATGTGCCACCATACCTGGCTAACTTTATATTTTTAATAGAGATGGGGTTTCTCCATGTTGGTCAGGCCTCCAACTCCCAACCTCAGGTGATCCACCTGCCTCGGCCTCCCAAAGTGCTGGGATTACAAGGCTGAGCCACCGCGCCTGGCCTTCCTTAGTCCTTTTACTCAATCCACAAAAGACTGAGGAGTAAAAAGACAAGGTCTTTGGGGACCCCAATCATTTTAACAGAAATAATATGTGTCTGTTGCCCTCCCAGATTAAAACAAGTAAGAATGTTTGTTTCAAATTGCAAAGGTCATACAAATACGGCAAAATCTCAATCATTTGGCAACACTTGATTCTAGATGCACAAGTCTTTATTTATTTATTCATTTCTTTTTGAGAGAGAGTCTTACTCTGTCATCCAGGCTGGAGTGCAGTGGCACAGTCTCAGCTCACTACAACCTCTGCCTCCTGAGTTCAAGCAATTCTCCTGCCTCAGCCTCCTGAGTAGCTGGGATCACAGGTGTGCGCCACCACACCCAGCTAACTTTTGTATTTTTAGCAGAGACAGGGCTTTGCCATGTTGGCCAGGCTGTTCTGGAATGTCTGGCCTCAGGTGATCTGGCTGCCTTGGCCTTCCAAAGCGTTAGGATTATGGGCATGATCCACCTCGCTGGGCCTTATTTATTTTATATACCTTTCATTATGTTTGAAATATTTAGCTGGGTGTGGAGGCTCACGCCTGTAATCCCAGCACTTTGGGAGGCCGAGGCGGGCGGATCACGAGGTCAAGAGATCGAGCCCATCCTGGCCATGGTGAAACCTCATCTCTACTAAAAATAGAAAAATTAGCCAGGTGTGGTGGCATGTGCCTGTGGTCCCAGCTACTCTGGAGGCTGAGGTGGAAGAATCGCTTGAACCCAGGCGGAGGTTGCAGTGAGCCGAGATTGCACCACTGCACTCCAGCCTGGCGACAGAGTAACTCTGTCTCAAAAAAAAAAAAAAAAAAGAAATATTTAATAAATGTAAAAGGTCACAATGGTCATTAAAGATGTAAATAATATATAAATATAACCCTCTTAAAATTTTCTTTCCTCCTGAGAGGGGATCAAAGATAATGGTTTGCCATGCCATTCGAAGCTTTTCTTTTCTTTTTTTTTTTTTTTGAGACAGTCTTGCTCTGTTGCCTAGGCTGGAGTACAACGGCACAATCTTGGCTCACTGCAACCTCCACCTCCATGGTTCAAGCAATTCTCCTGCCTTAGCCTCCCAAGTAGCTGGGATTACAGGTGCCTGCCACCATGCCCAGCTAATTTTTGAATTTTTAGTAGAGACAGTGTTTCATCATGTTGGCCAGGCTGGTCTAGAACTCCTGACTTCAGGTGATCCACCCACCTCAGCCTCCCAAAGTGCTGGGATTACAAGTGTGAGCCACCATGCCCGGCCTTGTGTTCTTTTTTTGAGATGGAGTCTCCCGTTGCACAGGCTGGAGTGCAATGGTGAGATCTCTGCTCAGTGCAGAGATCCACCTCCCACCTCCCAGGTTCAAGCAATTCTCCTTCCTCAGCCTCCAAGTAGGTAGGATTACAGGCGTCTGCCACCACACCAGGCTAATTTTTGTATTTTTAGTAGAGATGGGTTTTCGTCATGTTTGCCATGCTGGTCTCGAACTCCTGACCTCAGGTAATCCACTCTCCTCTACCTCCCAAGTGCTAGGATTTCAGACATGAGCCAGTGCACCTGACCTTAAAACCTTTTTGAAAGGGGGCACACATATGTGCACAAATATTACTATATATAGCTTTTTTTTTTTTTTTTTAGATGGAGTTTTGCTCTTGTTACCCAGGCTGGAGTGCAATGGCGCGATCTCGGCTCACCGCATCCTCGCCCCCTGGGTTCAGGCAATTCTCCTGCCTCAGCCTCCCAAGTAGCTGGGATTACAGGCACGCGCCACCATGCACAGCTAATTTTTTGTATTTTTAGTAGATACAGGGTTTCACCATGTTGACCAGGACGGTCTTGATCTCTTGACCTCGTGATCCACCCGCCTCGGCCTCCCAAAGTGCTGGGATTACAGGCTTGAGCCATTGCGCCCGGCCGCTTTTTTTTTTTTTTTTGAGACAGAGTCTCACTGTGTTGCCAGGTGGTAGTGCAGTGGCAGGATCTCGGCTCACTGCAACCTCCGCCTCCTGGGTTCAAGTGATTCTCCTGCCTCAGCCTCCTGAGTAGCTGGGACTACAGACACATGCCACCACACCCAGATTATTTTTTTTCCTTTTTGAGATGGAGTTTCGCTCTTGTCACCTAGGCTAGAGTGCAATGGCGCAATCTCGGTTCATTGCAACCTCTGCCTCCCGGGTTCAGGCGATTCTCCTGTCTTGGTCTCCAGATTAGCTGGGATTACAGGCGTGTGCCAATACACATGCCTAATTTTTAATATTTTTAGTAGAGACAGGGTTTCACCATGTTGGCCAGGCTTGTCTGGAACTCCTGACCTCAGGTGATCCGCCTTGCCTCGGCCTCCCAAAAAGTTGGGATTCTAGGTGTGAGCCACCATGCCTGGCCTAAATAATACTTAGAATGGCAGTTCTACAGACAACACATGGAAGGGGGTCCAAGATTATAGTCAGTGAAAAGCAAGATGGGAGACTGTGTATATATTTCTTTTCTTTTCTTTTTTTTTTTTTTTGAGATGGAGCCTTGCTCTGTTACTCAGGCTGGAGAGTAGTGTCATGATCATGGCTCACTGCAACGTCTGCCTCGCAGGTTCAAGTGATTTTTCTGCCTCAGCCTCCCGAGTAGCTGGGATTACTGTGGTGTGCCACCACATCTGGCTAATTTTTGTATTTTTAGTAGAGATGGGGTTTCACCATGTTAGCCAGGGTGGTCTTGAACTCCTGACCTCAAGTGATCCACCCACCTCACTTTTCCAAAGTGGTGGGATTACAGGGGTGAGCCACAGCACCTAGCTGGTGTGTATATTTCTGTGATATAATAATACAAGAAAATACGGCTCATGTCTGTAATCGCGGGACTTTGGGAGACAGGCAGGTGGATCACCTAAGCTCAGAAATTTGAGACCAGCCTGGCCAACACAGCGAAACACTGTCTCTACTAAAAATATGAAAATGAGCTGTATGTGGTGGCATGCACCTGTAGTCTCAGAACTCAGGAGGCTAAGGCAGGAGAATCAATTGAACTTTGGAGGTGGAGATTGCAGTGAGCCGAGATCATGTCCCTGCACTCCAGCCTGGGTGACAGAGCGTGACTCCATCTCAAGAAAAGAAAAGAAGGCCCGGCACGGTGGCTCACGCCTGTAATCTTAGCACTTTGGGAGGCTGAGGTGGGTGGATCACCTGAGGTCAGGAGTTCAAGACCAGCTTGGCCATGAGGGTGAAACCCCATCTTTAAAAAATAAATAAATAAATAAAATAAAAATAAATTAAGCCGGGCACGGTGGCTCACGTCTGTAATCCAGCACTTTGGGAGGCTGAGGCGGGTGGATTACGAGATCAAGAGATCGAGACCATCCTGGTCAACATGGTGAAACCCCGTCTCTACTAAAAATACAAAAAATTAGCTGGGCACGGTGGTGCGTGCCTGTAATCCCAGCTACTCAGGAGGCTGAGGCAGGAGAATTGCCTGAACCCAGGAGGTGGAGGTTGCGATGAGCCGAGATCGTGCCATTGCACTCCAGCCTGGGTAACAAGACTGAAACTCTGTCTCAAAAAAATAAAATAATAAAATGAAATGAAAAAATAATATAAAAATAAATAAATAAAATAAAAATCTATAAAATATAAAATAATATATAAAATATAAAATAAAAATAGTAAAATAATAAGATAAAATATAAAAAAAGAAAAGAAAAAAGAAAAATGCGGATCACGTTGGCTCATGCCTATAATCCTTGGCACTTTGGGAGGCCAAGGCGGGCGGATCACGAGGTTAGTTTACGACCAGCCTGGCCAAAATGGTGAAACCCCATGTCTACTAAAAATACAAAAATTGGGAGCAGGAACCCGCAACCAGGAACAGAGCCCTTTACTCCTCCCTCAGAATAAATGGAGACCAGAAATCAGATGTTTATGCCCAAGAAAAGCAGGATTTCGTTCAGCACTTCTCCTGGATCGTTAGGGTGCTGACTGAGGATGAGATGGGGCACCCAGAGACAGGAGATGCTATTGCCCGGCTCAAGGAGGTCCTGGAGTACACCACCATTGGAGGCAAGTATCACCGGGGTCTGACGGTGCTAGTAGCGTTCCGGGAGCTGGTGGAGCCAAGGAAACAGGATGCTGATAGTCTCCAGCGGGCCCTGACTGTGGGCTGGTGTGTGGAACTGCTGCAAGCTTTCTTCCTGGTGACAGATGACATCATGGATTCATCCCTCACCCGCCGGGGACAGATATGCTGGTATCAGAAGCCAGGTGTGGGTCTGGATGCCATCAATGACGCTGTCCTTCTGGAAGCATGTGTCTACCGCCTGCTGAAGCTCTACTGCCGGGAGCAGCCCTATTACCTGAACCTGCTCGAGCTCTTCCTGCAGAGTTCCTATCAGACTGAGATTGGGCAGACCCTGGACCTCATCACAGCCCCTCAAGACAATGTGGATCTTGACAGATTCACTGAAAAGAGGTACAAATCCATTGTCAAGTACAAGACGGCTTTCTACTCCTTCTACCTTCCTGTAGCTGCAGCCATGTACATGGCAGGAATTGATGGTGAGAAGGAGCATGCCAATGCCAAGAAGATTCTGCTGGAGATGGGAGAGTTCTTTCAGATTCAGGATGATTACCTTGACCTCTTTGGGGACCCCAGTGTGACTGGCAAAGTTGGCACTGACATCCAGGACAACAAATGCAGCTGGCTGGTGGTCCAGTGTCTGCAGCGGTCCACTCTGGAACAGCGCCAGATCCTGAAGGAAAATTACGGGCAGAAGGAGGCTGAGAAGGTGGCCAGAGTGAAGGCATTATATGAGGAGCTGGATCTGCCGGCTGTGTTCTCGAAGTATGAGGAAGACAGTTACAACCACATTATGGCTCTGATTGAACAGTACGCAGCACCCCTGCCCCCAGCTATCTTTCTGGGGCTTGCGCGCAAAATCTACAAGCGGAAAAAGTGACCTAGAGACTGCAAGGGCGGAGAGAAGGCTCTCAATAAATAAATTATTGTGTAAAAAACAAACAAACAAACAAAAAAACAAAAATTAGTCATGGGTGGTGGTGGGTGCTGTAATCACAGCTACTCGGGAAGCTGAGGCAGAGAATTGCTTGAACCTGGGAGGCAGAGTTTGCAGTGAGTTGAAATCACACCACTGCATCCGAGCCTGGGTGACAGAGCGAGACTCAGTCTCAAAAACAAACAAAAAAAAAAGTGGAATATTTTATAAATACAATAGAATTTGAAAAATATTTAACTATGCTTAAAAACAGTCTCAGATGCCCAACAGGTAGATTAAGAAAGTCTCTAATATCTCTGTTTACATTCCTTTCCTGAGTGGTCTTTTCCAGCATTATGTGTTAATCATTCCTTGCTTTTATTCCTGTTTTGGGACTTTTGTCCCCCGACCCCCCAAAAAAAGAATGTATGTAGATACAGATATATCCCTTTTGGTCTACCTAAGTGGTCAGCACGATTTAGTTTTATTTTAGTATTCGTGCATCTTGTTTTGTTTTGTTTGTTGTGTTTTGGAGACAGAGTCTCAGGATGTCACCCAGGCTGGAGAGCAGTGGCATGATCTCGGTTCACCGTAATCTCCACCTCCTGGGTTCAAGCCATTCTCCTGCATCAGCCTCCTGAGTAGCTGGGACCACAGGGGTGTGCCACCATGGCTGCCTAATTTTTGTATGTTTAGTAGAGATGGGGTTTCACCATGTTGCCCAGGCTGGTCTTGAACTCCTGAGCTCAGGTGATCTGCCTGCCTCGGTCTCCCAAACTGCTGGGATTACAGGCATGAGCCACTGTGCCTGGCTTCAGTCCTGAGTTTTGAGAATATTCCTATGTCCTTGTGTAAAGCTCCTTTGAATCCTTGCCAAAACTCTATGAGGGAGGGGTTGTAATTCCCCACTTTTATGGCTGAGACTCAAAGAGAGGTCAAGTTGCGTGGCCAAATTTTACGGCTATGAAATAATGATAGTATTTGAACCCAGAGCTTATAGGAATCCAGGACCCACATGGTTGCCCACTTTGCTAAGCCTCCCTTCAGGGCTGTCCCATGGAAGATGCTAGAGATATTCTCTCTTTTTTTTTTTTTTGAAACGGAATCTCCCTGTCGCCCAGGCTTGAGTGCAGAGGTACAATCTTGGCTCACTGCATTGTCCGTCTCCTAGGTTCAAGCAATTCTCCTGCCTCAGCCTCCCAAGTAGCTGAGACTACCAATGCACACCACCACATCCAGCTAATTTATTTATTTTTTTGAGATGGAGTTTCACTGTTGTTACGCAGGCTGGAGTGCAATGGCACGATCTCGGCTCACTGCAACCTCCGCCTCCTGGGTTCAAGCAATTCTTCTGCCTCAGCCTCCCAAGTAGCTGGAACTACAGGTGCATACCACCATGCCCAGCTAATTTTTTGTATTTTTTAGTAGAGACGGGGTTTCAACTTGTGACTAGGATGGTCTCGATCTCTTGACCTCGTGATCCACCCGCCTTGGCCTCCCAAAGTGCTGGGATAATAGGCGTGAGCCACTGCCCCTGGCCTTAATTTTTGTATTTTTAATACAGACGGGGATTTCACCATGTTGGCCAAGCTGGTCTTGAACTCCTGACCTTAGGTGATCCACCTGCCTCAGCCTCCCAAAGTGCTGGGATTACAGACGTGACCCAAGGCGCTCCGCCAATGATTGTATATCTGTACCATTTGTTGCTGTCACTTCTAGCCCCTTCAAATGTAGGTACTGGGGTTAAGGAGCTGAATTTTTTTTTTTTTTAAAGACGCGGTTTCACCATGTTGGTCAGGCTGGTCTTGAACTCCCAGCCTCAGGTGATCTGCCTGCCTTGGCCTCCAAAGTGCCTGGATTATAGGTGTGAGCCACCACGCCCGGCAAGGAGCTGAATTTTACATTTATTTTAATTAAATTGAAGTAGCTGTACGTATGTAGCCTAGTGTATCACATCAGCCAGCGTAGCCTTAGAGTGCTTTCTAGAATTTGTTTTAACTCACTACCAGGCTACATATACCTAAAGGGCTGATTTGATGCAAGCTCCCCCTAATCAACCTTTCACAAACATTTGTGGAATGAGTGAAGGGTCCATGGGGTAAGGGGGCCAAGGACATCAGCAGAGGTTTCCCGGAAGAGGCCATCTGGTTCCAGTGTGAATGCTTGCAGTGTTAGCCCTTCAACCAGTCTCTCTGAGTGCCTGCCAAGAGCATGGCACTGCGTAGACTCCTGGGGATACCAGTTGGATATGAGGTTGTCCCACCTCAGATTTTACAAATAGACTTCTCAAGGACAAATAATTGGTAATAGGGTAGGAATCTGACACGTGGATGAGCACTTTCAGATATATATCCTACTGACAGTCAAGCACAAAGCGCAATCCCATATAGCTCTGTTCGAAATAGAAAAAGCCTGGGGCTGGGTGCGGTGACTCATACCTGTAATCCCAGCACAGCACTTTAGGAGGCCCAGGCAGGTCGATCACCTGAGGTCAGGAGTTCGAGACCAGCGTGACTAACATGGTGAAACCCTATCTCTACTAAAAATACAAAGTTAGCCGGGTATGGTGGCGAATGCCTGTAATCCCAGCTACTCAGGAGGCTGAGGCAGGAGAAGCGCTTGAACCTGGGAGGCAGAGGTTGCAATGAGCCGAGATTATGCCATTGCATTCCAGCCTGGGCAACAAGAGCAAAACTCTGCCTCAAAAACAAAAAACAAGCAAAAAAAAAAAAAAAAAATAGAAAAAAGTTGAATACCATCTAAAAGTTAGGGACTAATTAAATCATTCTTGCACCATTTATCTGCCCAATGAAATGCTATGAAATCATTAAAAAGAAGGCTGGACGCAGCGGCTCACACCTGTAATCCCAGCACTTTGGGAGGCTGAGGCCGGTGGCTCTCCTGAGCTCAGGAGTTTGAGACCAGCCTGATCAACAAGGTAAAACACCATCTCCTAAAAAAAAAAAAAAAGGTAACTATACATGCTGATGTAGAATGATTTCATATCCTTAAATTAAAACAAAACAGGGCCAGGCGTGGTGGCTCATGCTTATAATCCCAGCACTTTGGGAGGCCCAGGCAGGAGGATCACTTGAGCTTAGGAGTTGGAGACCAGCCTGGGCAACATGGCAAAACCCTGTCTCTACCAAAATATAAAAATTAGCTGGGCCAGTGGTGCACTCCTGTAAACTCAGCTCAGCTACTTGGGAGGCTAAGGTGGGAGCACTGGTTGAGCCCAGGAGGAGGCTTCAGTGAGCCTAGATTGTGTCGCTGTACTCCAGCCTGGGCGAAGCAAAAACCTGTTTCTTTGTTTTTTTTTTGAGATGAAGTCTCGCTCTTTCGCCCAGCCTGGAGCGTAATGGGGAGATCTCCCATCACTGCAACCTCCGCCTCCCGGATTCAAGCGATCCTCCTGCCTCAGCCTCCCCGAGTAGCTGGGATTACAGGCATGCACGACCAAGCCCAGCTAATTTTTTGTATTTTTAGTAAATATGAGGTTTCACCATAATGGCCAAGCTAGTTTTGAACTCCTGACCTCAAGTAACCCACCCGCCTCCGCCTCCCAGAGTGCTAGGATTGCAGGTGTGAGCCACTGTGCCCCGCCGTCACAAGACCCTGTTTCAAAAAAAAAAAAAAAAAAATTCCGGAGCTATGATAATCATATATGAATAGGAGAACTATGAATATGAGAACAACTTCAATTTCTTAAGAGGATTCTGGTTTCTGAGAGCTCCATCCAGGGTCTGCCTTTCCTTGAGAAGCAGGTCCCTCATCCTACTCAGCCCGGGATATGTCCCAATGGGAGCTGCATCTTCTTTTCTGTATCTTCTCTCTCTTTGGGCACAGAGTTGCTCAATCAACCTTTGATGAATGAAGAATGGATGGGGGTACCTCAGGCAGGATCTGACTGGGCCTTTTGTAAGATTGATGAGGAGGGTCCAGGAAATCACTATTATTGTTTCCAGTAAAACTGGCCTGGTGTTTTCCTGCAGGAGAAAGTAATCTCTGGGACAAGCACCTTCACCTTCTCTCTTCCCTCACCTACACTCCACTTCTCTGGGACAATTAGCCAACACTGGGAGCTCCAGGGTCTCGGCCCTTCCCCCTTTGGTCCAAAATAACCTCCTCCCCTACTTTGAGCAAATGGTTGGAATTCTTTCCACTGGAGGACAAAGCCTTTCATCTGCCAATTACCGATAAAGAGAAAATGCAAATATGGGGGGGGGAAGGTGATTCATCAAGGACCCAACATTTATTGAGTGGCCACTTAGGACCCGGTGGCAGGGCAGGCATTCTGGGGGCGGCCAAGGGGAACAAATTCCCGGCTGGCTCATTCTTCTGTCACGTTTCGGTTTCCTCTAGGTTTGTAAAGGGAGGGGATTAAATTAGATGACTACCCAGCCCCTTCCCACTCTGACAAGCCAGGAACTCCTCATGAGGTGATATATGGACTTAACTGTTTTTACACTAAGGTGGTTACCTGACGCCAGCTTTTGGGGCCACCATAAGGCCACTTGGGGAGAAAAAAAGGGCCTCAGGGAGAAAAATGAATTAGATCAAGCTTTCCTATTTTTTTTTTTTTTTTTTTTTTTTTTTGCTTTATTTCACTTAATTCACTTTGGATCACTCTCCAAGCTCATACACTCTGCTTTGAACATGTTTATTTCATTATGGGGCAGTAGTGAGGCTGGTAAGTTACAAAAAAAAAAAAAAAAAAAGCACGTGATGGCCAAGCCAGGCTCCAGTGTGAGCCCTGGCAGCGGCACATATGAGCTATGTGATTCTGGGTGAGTGGCTTTGCTTTTTTTAGTCCCAATTTCCTCCTTTGCAAAATAGGAGCGAACAAGACTATCTCTTAAAGGGTTCTTGTGAGAAAGATAGTAGCAAATGAAATGGTCCACGGGCTGAAGGCGGAACTCCAGCTGAAGGCAGAACTCGTAGCAGTCAAACTAAGGGTTACTGATTGGATGCCGCAGAGCCAATGTGGGCGATTTCAGTTTGGAAGCAAATTTTGATGTTTCCCAGTCTCATCCTTGCTTAAAAGATTTTTATAGCTAGTGAACATGAATGAAAACAAACTTCAAAGAGCAGCCTTTGGGGGTGGGTGAGAAAGACTACAAAAAGATAGGACTGGAAACTTCTAAGGTGAGTGAGGGGGAAGCTTTCTTAGGGTGACCAATACGATGCTGATAGTGACATCCTATGTCAGGTGGGGAAGCCCCCCCCCCACGTCTATCTGGTAGCTTGGGGACCGTACAGGGGAAGAGCAATCAATCATTCAGAGTTACAATTTCTCTGAGCCTCCGTTGCCCCATCTGCAAAATGACCTGCTCCAACTATCCCACAGTGTTAATGGCAGAAATAAAATGTCAGGCTCAAAGCCTGCTCTCTACAAAGTCCCTTTATACTCGCCCTCTTGCCATGTCATTTTATCATCATCTGTTAACCCCCAAGGGCAGGCCTAGCAGGGCACTGCAGCTGGGGCTGGAGGAATGTTTAGGGCCAGATTAGCCTAGTCGACCTGAGCAAGCCTAGTCGACTTGACTTGCTCATTATGGGAGCACATCCCAGGACCAGTGCTGGGGTTGTCACAAACACTAATAAGTGGACAGGGACCTAATGACAGCCCTGTATGTACGGAGGATGCCGATACCTCTACTAAGAAGCCCTGTATGATTCACCAAGGGGCACCAGGGTCCCCCTCACCCATCCCAGAGCACCATGCACCTTTCGACCGACTCTTCTATAAACCGCAAGCAAGGGCTTACCCTTCGCTCCTGTGCGGGCGCCAGATCCGATTCTTTCCGTCTTTGACTCCTGAGTATCTATCTGCTCCCCTCGCCGAGCGCAAGAGTCTTTAAAAAACGTCCAACTTCTGTTTCAAGGCTGGTCGCCTCGTAAAGGACTCCACAGAGAAGGGCAGAATGAATGAAAGCCCACGTCATCCGGTCAGCTGCGGTCTGCAAAGGCTCTGGCCTGGCTGTATTTCCTGTACGTGTTTGTGTGTGTGTGTGTGTGTGTGTCCATATCTTTGAGTGCCGGGAGTTTAAAAGTTAGGCAATCCTTAGAGGTGTGGAGCTGAGCTAATTTTCTTCTGAGCCCCCCAAATGCCTCCTCCATATGGCAGGTCCGCAAATGGGGGGATCTGCAGAGGATCACCTCCCACGAAAAAGACATGCAGCAGCAAAACAACAAAAAAAATTTTTATATACAGAATGCTTTGAATTTGAGTCGGCCACACAGGTAATGTTGGGGGAGGGGTGGATAAAATAGGAAGAGGGGTAGCCCTGGGCCTTGGGGGCAGGGACGGAGGTGGGGGGGGTCGTTTTTGGGGGTGCCAGGCCCCGGGGGCTTTCACGCCAGCTTGTTCGGCTTGCATTTCCGCGCCTCCCGCAGAGGCCAGCCGTGCAAATCTGCACCTCCCTCCCTGCCCCGCCATCTCTGGGATGCGCCTGCCGCCTGCAACTCGGCCCTCCAAAAGTCAGCTCTGCACACAACTCCAGGGCGGCGGCGCCTCCGTGCAGAGGCACACTCGTGACCCAACAACAAAACAGCGATGCCAGGGCGCTAATGGGCGCCCGGTGCCTCCCGGGCTCCGTCCCGCCCCACACCTCCTCGGGCCGCCGCCCCCACTTTCCTACGTCCGGGCCGAGAGCCCCCCCCCCCCCTCAACTCGCCCGGCCTTGAGCTCCGAGCGCGATCGGCAACAATGTTTACGTTCCGGGAATTATGAAGTCTACACCTCCCCGCCCCACAACTGCTGAAAATGGTTTCCTAGGACTTTGCAAACGGATCTGTCTAAGTGTTGGTGCAAAACTTTGTAGATCTCGGCTCTGGCTTGCTTTATTTTTTGGTTTGTTTTCTTTGGTCTTCCCTCCTTCCTCGGCCAAAATGCAGGGGGCAGGAGTGTTGACAATTAATTGGTGAACTCTCCTAAAAAAAATGGAGGCAGAGAAAGACTCTGGAAGAAGATTGGTATGTAGCTTCCCCCCCCCAAATCTGTATCTGGCATATGATAGATTTTTTTGGGGGGGGGTTGTTTCGCTGCCTTTTCTTTCCTTTTCTGTATTTTGCAAGAGGACCAGGAAAAAATAATAATAAATTGCATGCAAAAGGAAGCAAGCTGCTTACTCCAGTCCCTTTTGAGGCTTAGAGTCTCAGACACTTAAGTGGGGAGGTGGTATCGCGCAACGGTGTGGAGGAGGGCTGAGCAGGCTCGGGGTTCCCCCGGAATCTAGGGGGCTGCGGCGCTGGGTGGTGGAGGGAGGAGGCAGGGGAATGCGGGGAGTGCTGGGGGAGTCTCCTTAGGAAGTGAGTGTGCGCGGGCGCTTGTGGGGAGATGAGGCAGCTGTTGGTGCGTTTTGGGGTCTCCGATCGGAGCTTTGTGGCGGGCCGTCTGCCTCTCCCCCTCCCAAGCCCCGAACCTCCTCTTCCCACCTCCTCTTCTGCACTGGCGGGCGGACGGCGGGGGCGGCTGGGGTCTCAGCCCTTCCATTTCAGCTTTCCAGCTTCCCCGGTAGCTCGGGGGCGGCTCCAGCTTTGGAAATGCCGCCGGCCCCCGGTTCCGGCTTCCGGGCTCTGCCGCGGCGGCCGCCGGGGCTGCTGTTACCGCCGAGCTGGGCGCCGCAGCGGCTCCTCCTGGGGCCTACATTTGCCCCGCCAGCCCGTGTCCGGGGGCCCCCTTCCCGGGTAACATAACCAGGCTCCCGGCCGAGTGGCGGGGGGCAGGGGAGGGCCCCCAGATGTCCCTTCAATGGC